ATAAAGTCATGACTTTAAATCTTTGTTTGATTATTTTAACTATTGATGAATATCTGATGAAATTTTATTTGTTTTAATGGTCTGAAGAGCATGCAGACTTTTTTTGTCACGTCTTAAAAATACACAAATACAAAATAATGCTTTGTTTGCTTCATTTATTCTTCATTATTTTGGGGGGGAAATAAAGGAATAGCAGTATTCTTGAAGGTCAGGGAGGTATTTTGTTCGTGCAGGAAAAAGAGATGGGTAAGAAAGAGTCCGATGGAGGAAGAGAAAGAGCACATTGGAAGAACCATCTTAAAACCTTCAGTAAAGCATGCATAGATATACGTACTTCTTATATCACAGCTCAGTCAGTCCCAAATGACTGGATTTGTGTCTGTATAGCTTGCTGAACATGTTGACTCCATGTATTTCAGCGTTATCATAAACAAATGTTATCACAATAATGTTTCTTATCCAAAGTATTACTTCTGAATATGATTCTTAGACCAAGAGGAGGCAACACAGGGTTTGAGTAACAGACAGCTAACATACGAAGGGGAAGAGAGAAAGACAAGAGCGCTAGTTAACAGCGAGAAAGAGAGAGGTAGACCAACGGACCACTTACAGCATCATGCCAACAGACAGTTTTGTAGTGAAACGGCAGTAGAATCGTACAAAAAAAAATCCAGTTGAAATCAGTTCATCTGTAAACAACACAAATGATAAACAACTGCATCCAAGGAAATACATTTGGCTTTGTGTTATTTATTCATTCGTATATTCCTTATCTTACATAAAAAGCAATAAAAGAGAACATTACATCACTCCTTTGGTTGCAGCAGCATGACCTGGCTTCGTGTGATTGCCGTGTCAATTTGATGGGTTGATTATATGATTAAAATCTTTGAGGCATTTGTCAGAGATGGAATCATGAAAATATGGTAGTGGATTTACAGGCACAACAGAGTAAATAAAGAAGTTGGTGCACTTGAATTGACAATGAATCAATCAATTGTCCGATCATGAAGAGTCCATTCATGAGACCAGGCTCCCCTGTTGAAAAAAACAGCATATGATGGTTAGGTATGTTTTGATGCTGGTTTCAGTTGGTCCTTTGCTGGTTTAAACTGGTTCTTTGCTGGTTTAAGCTGGTCCTTTTGCTGGTTTATGCTGGTCATGTGCTGGCAAAGGACCAGCATTAACCAGCAGCAAAAGGACCAGCAAACCAGCAAAGGACCAGCTTAAACCAGCAAAGGACCAGCTGAAGCCAGCAAAGGACCAGCTTAAACCAGCAAAGGACCAGCATAAACCAGCAAAGGACCAGCATAAACCAGCCAAGGACCAGCTTAAACCAGCATCCCAGCGTCAAAACATACCTAACCAGCATATGCTGGGTTTTTTAATAGGGTCGCAGAGTCATGGGTGAGGAACATAAAGGTAATTTAATATCCCTCAGGTGACAAAGTGTGCATTCATAATTCCTTTAAAACCTATGTATTTCTTACTAAGAAACACTGGTGACTTGTTTTCATGTTCCGATAGTCGGCTAAGCAACAAGACTAACACTGCTACAACTTTACAGTAAAACTGAAGTACTCTGAGGTTATTTTCAATCCAATTTCATAACTGAAATGCAAGATGGCACCAGTTGCTTTTTTATAAAATAAGAATGAGTCTGCGATGTGATAAAGATTAAGACAAAATTAGCACCGGTTTTAGTAATCCGCACGATGCCAAGACAGGCTTAAAGTAATCGTGAGATGAGGGGGGAAAACAAAAACAAACGAATGAATGAAATCAAATAAACACAAGACACAAATCTGTGGCCTCAGTTTCAAAATCCATTCCCACGGATCTGCAAAACCTTTGGGAACGGATTGCAGAAGTCTCTTACAGGTGACTTCCCGGGCTCAATACCTGACAAATATGAGCGCAATCAAATTTCAAGTTCATAATCCTTAACGAGTTCTGCAGTGACTTTTGTCACAGTCAGAATCTCCTAATTACTTGATCACCTGAACATACTTGAAGATAAAAGAAACCTTTATGTTTGACATCATTTTGCTTCATGATTCAAAATAAATGAAGGAAGATGAATGATTACATGTCTGAAATATTCTCACCAAGCCAAAGGGATACCATTACAACCAAAGGTGCATTTATCTGAAAATAACAAATAGATATCATACAGGCTGCAAAGTTAAATCCCTCCCCTATATAATTCTTAAATAAATAAATGGGCACATATTATTTCATGTGAGCAACTTTTGGAGTTCTGTATGCTTCACGTAATATAAGAACTTATGACACCAAATCAAAATATAACAGTTATGTTTCAGTTTTACGGTTGGTTTATGCAATGATGTAGACTCTGTTGTTATGTATTTTTATACAGGCTAGTATAAAACATTAACCTTATGACATACAACAAGATGTTTAAGAAAGTGTGTATGATTTTTTTTTCAGTGACAAAAGGTACACAAATACTGTGCACAAAAATCTGTCAGAGCCTCCTCAGGAGTCCAGCAGTGAAATAATATGTACCCCAACATATACAGGAGGGAGTGCACACAATTCTGTAGAAAAATAAACATTGTCCCAACATTGCATAAAGAATCAGTCAATAAATCAATTCATTCAAGTCAACACACTTCATATAGCTATTAATGCTATTTCTTCTTCTCAAGTTTATATTACACACAATCATCAAAGTTGAACCATGTGTCCTCCAAAGAAACCGTCGTAATAACTGGTAGACATTGTTTTCTTTTTTCAAATGTTTAAAAAAAAAATCCTTAGTGAATCATTCATGACATCACAATGCAGGATGATGTAGTTACTTCTGTTTCTGAACCGGACGTCTGCTCCTACTTTGGGACGCATATGCTTCATGTTCGTTTACGAACAAATACACAGTCAATGCAAAATTTGTAGCATCATAGTTACTGTATAATCAATGACCATGACAATCAGGAAGACACCTGTGCAGTTCGAAATTCCAAATGGCCTGAGTTTTTCATGAGGTCACTTTGAACTCGAATCAAAGTCCATTTCCATTCTCATTCTGCGGAAACATTTTTCCTTGTTATCTTGGTAAAGGATATTTACAGCATGTGAATCCAGGTCCTGTTCTATTCTTCCCTTGATAGCTAGTGAAAAGAACTGTAGGCAATGGAATACATGTTTTGGAACAGAAATTATGACATGCTTTATAATAAAAATTAAGTAGTCATCAAGAACTGGTCCTGCAAGTGTAACAATAAGTACATGTACGAGTCGCCAACAGGACTGTTCTGACAAAAATGTTTACTGTAGTATTCTTCTATTTTTGTAATTTGAGGTTATGAGGCATCACCTATCCATCTTTCTCCTCTCAGTTGTCATTTATCATGAAAACAAGCTAATAACAAATAATTGGATCAGAGTTCATTTAATCTAGATATTTCAAAACCATCCTGAAGCCAATGTTTGACTAAACCAGAGCAAAAACAAAAAATTCCATGTGATTAAAAGAAAATGAGAAATCTGGGATCAGAACTCAAGTTCAGGGGGAAGTGACTTTTTGTCTCATAAAACAATTTTCTAAAAGGCATCTGTCCTTCTCCCAACAACCAATGCCAGTGCAAAAAAGTCCCCACCCCCCAGCCAATCAAGTCGCTAAACACACAGATCTCACAGAGTCCTTCTCAAGCTCAGCTCAGAGTACTGAGGTCCAGTGCAAATATCTATACAATTTTGTATAGGACTCCAGAGTACACTGACAAACATCATGCATGCCAAATGACACACAGAGAGGGAAGCACTCTATGTTACAATCCAGTATGAAATATATCTGTGAGTATGTGTGCGTGTGAAAAAGTTCATATTACAACTACAAAAATTAACTAAAAATAAATAAATTAAATATAAAATAAATTAAAATAAATGCTAAATAATAATGGGTCTAATTATGTGGCAAATAAAATCTAAAAATGTTAAAAGCTGTATGTAAGAGTTTGAGCGATTTAATCAGTATAATTAGCTTAATTTAAGAACAGTAAAAGTCGCTATGCTGCCATACAAAGCCAAAACAGTATTAAAATTGAAAATCAAATCAGTCAATAAATCAACCAATTGAATTTTTCTCAGTTCCAGTTTTGCTGTAGTTACTGCATTTCTCCTTTGTATGGCAGTATGAGAGAACATCACAGGTATAGGTGTATATATTAGTGTTTGTACACTACCATTGAAAAGTTTGGGGTCAGTAAGTTTTTTGAAAGAAATTAATTCTTTTATTAAGCAAAGATGCATTAAATTGATCCAAAGTAACACTAAATACATATCTATGAGATTTCTATTGAACATAAATGCTGTTGTTTTGAACTTTCTTATTTATTATCTATCTACCACGGTTTCCACAAAAATAATAAGCAGCACAACTGTTTTCAAGATTGATAATGATTTTGACAGATCATGTGACACTGAAGACTGGAGTAATGGCTGCTGAAAATTCAGCTTTGCCATCACAGGAATACAATACAATTTAGAAAAATACTAAAATAGAAACAGTTATGTTATAATGTAATAATACTTCATAATATTACTGTTTTTATATTGCATTTTTGATAAAAAAAATGCAGCCCTGGTGAAAAAAGGGTTCTTCCAAAAACATTGAAAAAATCGTACTGACTCCAAACTTTTTGAATCTATTTGCTTGAGTTTATGAGGGTCTGAATACCGTACATATTGAATAAACAGCCGACAGAACTGTGTAGATGAGTGGTTGGTTTCAGTTAATTGGTTTTTATGTTTTACACCACAGAAACTTCTGTGTTGAACCTGTGTTTCTCCCATTTTTCTTTTTTAATAAATCTGCAAAAATGTCAACAATTCTGTGTTTTTCTGTCAATATGGGGTGCTGTGTGTACATTAATGAGGAAAAAAATGAACTTAAATGATTTTAGCAAATGGCTGCAATATAACAAAGAGTGAAAAATTTAAGGGGGTCTGAATACTTTCCGTACCCACTGTAGATGGCCAAATCCAGTCTTTTACATATAAAGGGGTGTGTTTGGAAGTATACAGAGCGAAAACTGAAGAGGAAAAGAGGGAATTTGTGTTGTATTGAGTGTATGTGATCTCTTATGATGTGTCTTTGTGGGAACTGATGTTCTGAAGGGCATGGGTTGAAAAAGCTTGTGTTTACTGTCTATTTTACAATTGTATATTTATTTTTTGTTGTTGTTTTCTTAGAAAATAATAGTATTATTATAATCATTATGGTTTATTAACTATAGTTTCTTTATTTTGAATAACGAGTGCCAACACTCCTTGTAAAAGCATGCACATATTTAAGCGAATGTTCTTCAAATTCATCGTCCTGAATTACATACCTCCAACTCTATCACTCCATTCCAAACACGGTGAGTATTCCTCCATCTCTCCTCTCCCAGTTCCAAGGATTTCTCATTCCCATTCTGTGCCTTCCTTTTTCAGACATCCATAATATAAGGCTTACAAAAAAGTATCATAGTGTTCACGTAAGCAGTGCAGTAACTTTCAGTTCTGCTTTTCCATTTTGGGTTCGAGCAGTCACTTGAATTCCATCACAATGGTGTTTGATTCCTGAAATAGGAGTTGGTATTGTTTGATTAAGCTGATTGAAATGTCTAACCAGCTTAAGTCTCATGCCGGCCACTTAGTTGGTTGCCGTGACGTCTACAGATGATGATTCTGACTCCTCCTTTTCCTCAAGCTCTTCAATTACAGATGGTGAGACATCAAACGCCTTGCGCTCTGTGCTGAATTCTCCAGGGGCTTGGCCTGGACTGCTTCCTCCCGTCGAGGTCACTTCCTGCGTTACTGGAGATGGAATTAATGTTACTGGTTCTGGTTCCATACATAACGTTACCTCTTCCTCCTGGAAAAGAGGCTGGATGTTAGACTGGGTACATGTCATTTCCTGTTTACAGCTGCAGTGTGTAATTTCTGTGCCAAAAGTGGCACTAAACAAATTCACAAAACAACTTTCAAAACATTTGTTTTGCAATTTTGTTTAGTGGCTGGAATGAGACTTAAACAGGTTTTGTGTTGGGATAACACTTAACAAATAACATTTGGGACTCAAATAAACAGACCATTGTTGAAAGTTGTTTTAGCGACACTTGCCGTACTTCCATGCTGGTTCAACAATATAGGACTGCTGTTATTGATGTCACTCACAGGTGAATGGTGAAGTATTAATAGGTTCCCTTACACATTTATGCACATGTGCATTATTAAAAAATGGCACTGATTGTTGATTGTTGTTGGGGCGGGATTATCCATTGGCCTGACCAATAACAGCAGGGGGGAGTTTTAAAAAAACCTGTCTGAAAACAGTCATTATTTTTGCAGTTTCTTTTGGTGATGCTGTTGGCACAGAAATTACACACTTCAGCACTAGAAAAGTTGCACACTGTAGCTGTAAGAACTGATTTAAACTGTGACTCATACCTGATTCCAACAGTGAGAGGAGTTATAGAAACTTCTCATTTTCTAGCTGCTGACAGAAATAGCATTTTTTCAAAAAAAAAATTTTTTTTCATATTAACTGTCTGTTGAGATGCTGTTCTATTCATGTTTATTTCATGCCATAACTTGTATTAAAGTTGAAGAGACGATACCGCTTGAACTGTGGCACTGTCGACACATTTAAAAGCATCAAAGCTGCATTCATTGTTTGAATTTCATGATAGAATGGACAGAATTTGAAAGATGAGGCTTTGTTTCCTATCAGAAGCACAAAGCTCTTTTATTGGAGATTATTGGAGGTTTATTGCAATGAACAAAAACTTATTTTGATAGTTTTAATTAACCACACCATCACTGATTTTAGACTCAGTGTAGTTGTCAATTGTAAGTGGATTATGTTCATAGTTAATGTGATGAACTACACCTGTGGTTACTCTGTTATGACGTCTGCGTAAACTTGAGATTGCTGACTTCATACATACACTAACAATTATGCTGGGACCAGTTGGTCAAGAGATTTCTAGAAAAGTGAAGTTAGTTTTGAGAAAAAGTCTAGCAGATATCACTTGATATTTTGTTTTTAGTGCAAAAACATTCAGATATTTGGCTTAAGTGTCATGTAAGGGCCCCTGCACGTTTTATTTTATTATTATTATTATTATTATTCACTCACTTTGATCTCTTCCTCCTCCTGGGCTTCCAGTAAAGGTGAGTGATCTGTCGTCACCTCCTCTGAGGGGGCTGTTAGATTTCCATCTACTGCTACAGGCATACCCATGTAGCCCACCATGTCTGCCTGATAGGCCTCTGTCTGCGCTGCCCCCCACAGATCCACTAATGGCGGGTGAGTGAGGGGAGGCAGGCTGTGGATGGTGCTGTTGGGAGTAGCTTGTAAAGACTGAGTGGCACTCTGTAGTCTTTGCTCCAAGATCTGCAAATAGACCGAAAAACAGCTCAAGTTTCCATTGCGGTAACAGAGCACAAGCCACTCTTTCAGCTGCCTCTTTTTCCCATTCATGTTATCCATGCCAAAAAATTCACATGAACCAAACCAACCAGCAACCAAAATTACAAACTTTGATTTAAGCAAAATAAATAAATTTGCATATTTATTAAAAATATTATAAGCAATGAACTAAGCATCTCATAAAACAATAGCAATAACTGATAAGAAATTATAGTATATATAATGATCATATGTCAGTAGTTTAATTAGATAATATATTTATTCAATTCAATTCAAGTTTATTTGTATAGCGCTTTTCAGGATACAAATCGTTGCAAAGCTACTTTACAGCAAATTAAGTTTCTACAATATTTAGTGGTAGCTTATCAGTGGTGACTGTCAGTTAATGTTCATATGGCAGAAATGTACGGAAAAATCAATTAAAGATGTAATCAAATAAGATGAACACTATTAACGGCAATTATTATATGATGCAATCAAACTTATAGCAAAATGTGGTAGTTCTGTATGTTGTTTCAGGGTTGGCATCATCTGAGGTCCTCGGAGGGGTTGGCATCATCTCTTCTCAGGTGTTCTGGATCCAGACTGAAGCTTGTGTAAATCCTAGTTACCACGGGATGTCAATCCCTGGTAAGTAGCTGCTGTTCCAACCAAGCAAAATTGATTTGTTTAACTCAGGCTAAAGAATAATAACGATATAACTGCAGTACGAGATTATGAGATGCATTATTTGAATGCTTGGCCAAAGAGATGTGTCTTTAATCTAGATTTAAACGGAGAGAGTGTGTCTGAACCCCGAACGTTATCAGGAAGGCTATTCCAGAGTTTGGGAGCCAAATGCGAAAAAGCTCTACCTCCTTTAGTGGACTTTGCTATCCTAGGTACTACCAAAAGTCCAGAATTTTGCGACCTTAGGGAGCGTGATGGATTGTAGCGTGGTAGAAGACTAGTTAGGTACGCAGGAGCTAACCCATTAAGGGCCTTATAGGCAAGTAATAATATTTTGTAACTGATATGGAACTTAATAGGTAGCCAGTGCAGAGACTGTAAAATTAAATTTTCTTGACCTGGTAAGGACTTGTAACTGTATGTTTCGTAACTTGGCAATGTTTCTAAGATGGAAGAATGCTGTTTTTGTAACATGGGAAATGTGATTTTCAAAAGACAAGTTGCTATCTAATATAACACCCAGATTTTTGACTGTAGAGGAGGTAACCGTGCATCCGTCTAGTTGCAAATTGTAATCCACGAGATTCGGCGTACTGTCTTTTGGTCCAATAAGTAATATCTCTGTCTTATCCGAATTTAATAGGAGAAAATTATTGGTCATCCATTCTTTTACATTTTTAACACACTCCGTTAGCTTAGATAATTTAGAAGTTTCATCTCGTCTTGTTGAGATATATAGTTGAGTATCATCAGCATAACAGTGGAAACTAATCCCGTATTTCCTAATAATATTACCAAGGGGCAACATGTATATCGAAAATAGCAGAGGACCTAGGACAGATCCTTGTGGCACTCCATATTTTACTGGTGATAATTGAGATGACTCCCCATTTAAATGAACAATGTGGTAGCGATCGGACAGGTAGGATCTAAACCATCTTAAAGCCTGCCCTTGGATACCTGTATAGTTTTGTAATCGATCTATCAGTATGTCATGATCTATAGTATCGAATGCAGCACTAAGATCAAGTAAAACTAGCAATGAGACACAGCCTTGGTCTGACGCAAGAAGCAAGTCATTTGTAATTTTAACAAGTGCAGTTTCTGTGCTATGGTGGGGCCTGAAACCTGACTGAAATTCTTCATAGAGATCATTTTTTTGCAGGAAGGAGCACAATTGAGCAGACACAACTTTTTCTAAAATTTTAGACATAAAAGGAAGATTTGAGATGGGTCTGTAATTAGCCAGTTCACTAGGATCTAGTTGTGGTTTCTTAATAAGAGGCTTAATGACCGCCAGCTTGAATGTTTTTGGGACGTGACCTAAAGACAACGACGAGTTAATAATATTGAGAAGCGGTTCTTCTGCTACAGGTAACAACTCTTTCAGTAATTTAGTGGGTACAGGATCTAACAGGCATGTTGTTGGTTTAGATGCAGTGATAAGTTTATTTAGCTCTTCCTGTCCTATAGCTGTAAAGCACTGCAGTTTATCTTTGGGTGCGATGAATGAAGCTGAAGTATTATACGCTGTAGAATCTACATTTGTTGTTGTATTTCTGATGTTATCTATTTTATCAGTGAAGAAATTCATAAAGTCATTACTATTAAACTGTGAGGGAATATTTAGATCGGGTGGCGTCTGGTTATTTGTTAATCTAGCCACTGTGCTAAATAAAAACCTTGGATTGTTTTGGTTATTTTGGTTATTTTCTATGAGTTTGTGGATATGCTCGGCCCTGGCAGCTTTTAGAGCCTGTCTATAGCTGGACATACTGTTTTTCCACACAATTCTAAAAACTTCCAAGAAAGTTTTTAAAATATACAAATCTTTTTTACAGTTGTCTGTCTGTCTGTCTGTCTGTCTGTCGTTCTAACATTCTATCCGTTGTCCTATCTATCTATCTATCTATCTATCTATCTATCTATCTATCTATCTATCTATCTATCTATCTATCTATCTATCTATCTATCTATCTATCTATCTATCTATCTATCTATCTATCTATCTATCTATCTATCTATCTATCTATTTCATCCGACAATTTAGTTTTTTCTTACCCCAGCTTATACAAATAGATTTTTTATTTGCAATGTTTCATGGGAATGGGCAATCACTGCTGCACATTTTTGGCAAAAATATCAAACATCAAGTTGAAATCACAGTGAGCAATGTCTTCTAGGGAAGCATATATCATCATTTTGGAGTCACAGAGCTCATGGTAGGTCTTGAAACGTTTATACATAATTTTGTTTATTTTTTAGTAATTTTTTTTTATTTACATTTAGAACCCGACTTGTGCTCTATTGTGTTACTATTGTGTTATTGATAGGATTTGTAGTGTTTAATTCCCCATTTGCTCCAGTGAGACCTCAACTACTGTGACGATCAATGGCTTCTGGTTAAAGGCTGAATGATGGAACCTGACGGAACCAAGTTTTTACTGCTGATCCTGGGGCTGCTGTTGAAATGGCCACTGGGACCTGTGCTGTTCAACGCCAACATGATGCTGCAGCCAGCAGAGCAAGAGATGTCGTTGCAGTAGATGCTAATTGAAATGGCAGTTTTGTAACTCACCTGTTGTTGAAACTAGCAGCAGCAATGCCTTATGGGAGTATTATGTCAATGTGCCAACAAACTGTTGTTGAAGAGGCATATGGAAGATACATTTTATGACAACTCTGTTACTATTACAGGAGATGATGATGCAAAGATTCTGCTACATAAAAATGCTTTGTACAAAAAATAATGTGATTTCTATTATTCTCAAAATAATGTGAGTTGAGAATTTCATAATGGCCATAAATTATAAAATGATTATTGCCAGTTTTATTAACATTTTTCCAATAATATTTTACATTAAGGTTCCGGTTGTTAATTAGTTAACGATGAAAAAGATTTTATTTAAGATTTATTATTAATGTTAATTTCAACATTCAAAGACTTCTTCACACAGGGCCATGTAGTTTTGGATTTTGTTTTCCCTTAATAATAAAAACCTTCATTTAAAAACTGCATGTTGTGTTTACTTGTGTTATTTTTGACTAATATTAAAATTTGTTTGATGATCTGAAACATTAAAGTGTGACAAACATTAAAAAAAAATAAGAAAATAAGGAAGGGGGCAACACTTTTTTACACCACTGTATATATATATATATATATATATATATATACTGTATATATAAATAATTATATATAACTAATAAATTGTTCAAATTAAGTTGTATACGTTAATATTATTGAATGAACATGAGCTAATATGAAATAACAATAAACAATGTTGTTTTTATTAAACTAATGTTAATAAAGATAAAAAATACAGTAACGTGTATTGCTTATTGTTAGTTAATTAACTACCATTAACAAATAATATTTATTCATCGTTTTGAAGATTATTAACCTTTTTAAAGATTAATTCATCTTAGTTTATGTTTAATTATTAAAATTAAAAGTTGTATCTGTTAATATTATTTAATGAACGTGAGCTAATATTAATTAACAATAAACAGTGTTATTTTTATTAACTAATGTTAATAAAGATAAAAAAATCCTGTAACATGTATTACTTATTGTAAGTGAATTAACTAAATAACTAATAGGACCTTATCGTAAAGTGTTACCATTTTTTCTTTTTCTTTTTTCTTCTTTTTTAACCATTTTTTAAACCACTATTTCATATTTTATTTATTTATTTTTCTAAGAAAAAAATTATAAAAGAATATGTCAGACAACTGAATGGTTTCTTTTCAAGAACTGAATACTCTTATTTATTTATTATGATATCAGGACACTTGTGTCACACTAACTTTTTTGACTTCATGCCCATAAAAAAAAATCTAAATGAAATTGAATTCAGGATTACAAACATTCTGATCATAGAGGAGGTGCAAGTCACTGAATTGCACTTTTAAATAAATGAATAGATCTGTTAATGTGGGTGATTAAATAAACATGCACAGCTCACGCACTGCTTACACATGCAGTATGAAACAGGCCTTATGGGATTTGTAGTTTTATGACTCACCTGTAAAGCACCTGTTATTGTTGCAGGGGCTTATGGGAGTTGTAGTGTTCTCACTCACCTGTTGCTGTTGTTGATACTGCAGGAGCTGTTGCTGCTGGTATTGATGGATCTGGTGCAGGTGCTGGATCTGCTGAAACTGGTTCTGATACTGCTGCTGCTGTTGCTGTTGTGACAGGAAGTGAGCTGCTGAATTTGGGTCATATCCTCCCTCAGTCCCGACAGCCATGACATATGAACCGGTGGCAGGAGAGGCCACACCTGACTGTTCATTACTAATTGGCTCCCAAGCATCAGAGGAAGAAAGGCAATAAAGACCCTGGGAGATGTAATTGTGAGGCCACACCTCTGCAGAAGAATGGTGCATTATCTGGTCTGAAAGAGACAGAGAAAAAGAAAATATTACAAACTTCAAGGGTAACATTCTGTATATTTTACAGAATGCTAGTTCTAAATCTCAGATCATTTTCCTCACAGCCTGTGCTGATCTGAGTTGTCGTCTGGTGATTATTATATGGCTACTTACCAAATAAATAAATAAGTGGATGTGAAATATTGATCTGAGTTGAAATTCTTTCATTATGTTAGATGAAAGAGAACCCAGAGTAACATGAGAGAAATTAAACTAACACAGTTACAGTATGAAGGAAATACATTACCAAAACCAATCAGAATCAAGTATTCCAGAGAGCCATAAACAATTATTATTGATCAGCGTCCTGCATATGGATTAGGTATGAACTAAAGTCTTCAAAGGAAAATATTCTTTAGAAAAACAAATAAAGGGTTGTCAAATTAAATCAAAGAAGTAAAATAAATGATATTATTTGACATGTTTCATCATTTGGCTGCTTTTAGATTCACTTTTATGTCATAGTCATAGCTCTTAAAAAGACTTTTATGATGCTTTGATTGGACACAATGTGCAGATATTAATATATTTGAGCCCACATCCATAACAAAGCCTCGAAATTTCCATTATTTTCATTTTGAGCCAAATTCTGTGACTTTTCAGCCTCATCTGCACGCAACGGCACAATATTTTCTAAATTATATCCGATTATAAAACAATGCTGAATAATAATAACTGCACATTCTATTTCTGTTGGTGAAATCTCTTGCCTCAGTTTACGCCACGGCCATCATTGTAAAACGAAAATGAGTGTTCACTCATTTCACCCCTCCGGCAGGGCAGAAATGAGATGCTTTATTTACTGAGGAAATGGCTTTGTAATGTAGCATAACACTCACTTGTACATAGACTGCCCACTGAGTTTATTCTTCTCTTGCCCTTTTTCTCTCTATAGACCTTCTATGGCAGCATCCTAATTGGAATGAAACCCCAGAAATAACTGATTTGTGCTCTACAGCAAACAACTTGACTCACAAATGATTTCATTACAAGTGATTCAAGAGGAATGATGCAATACTATAAAACTAACAAGCATAAATACAAGTAGCACACACATTTTGGGAAACAAAAAGTCATTTATTTGTTTTTAATTTTTTAATTTATCAGTACTTTTTTACTGTAATGTACATTTACATTTATTCATATTCATATGCTTTTATACAAAGTGATACAGTTGAAAAGTTTGATGTTAATAAGATTTTTTTTTTAGCAATACTTTTCGATAGAATAGAATAGAATATATTTTTAAAGAAATTTAAACTTTTATTCAGCAAAGATACATTAAATTGATCTAAAGTGACAGGAAAGACTTGCAGCTTTAGAAAAAATTAAGAGACCACTGCAAAATTATCGGTTTCTCTGGACAACATTTCTCCCAAGTTACAAATAAACATATTGTCATTTAGAGTATTTATTTGCGGAAAATTACAACTGGTTAAAATAACTGGTCAAAAAAGATGCAGTGTTTTCAGACCTCGATTAATGCAAAGAAAACAAATTAATATTAATTTTTAAACAACACAATACTAATGTTTTAACTTAGTAAGAGCTCCGAAATCAATATTTGGTGGAATAACCTTGATTTTCAGTCAGGGCTTTCATGCATCTAGGCCTGCTCTCCACCAGTTTTTCACATTGATGTTGGGTGACTTTATACAACTTCTGGCGCAAACATTCAAGCAGCTCGGCTTTGTTTGATGGCTGGTGATCATCCATCTTCCTCTTAATCACATTCTAGAGGTTTTCAGTGGGGTTCAGGTCTGGAGATTGGGCTGGCAATGCTACAGGATCTTGATCTGGAGGTCCTCCATCCACACTTTGATTGACCTGGCTGTGTGTCAGGGAGCGTTGTCCTGCTGGAAAAACCAGTCCTCAGAGTTGGGGAACATTGTAAGAGCAGAAGAAAGTTTTCTTCTAGGGCAACCTTGTACATGGCTTGATTCGTGCGCCTTTCACAAAGACAAATGTGCCCGATTCCAGCCTTGCTGAAGCACCCCCAGCAGTGTTCGAACTATACCGTGGGTTTGTGCGCTTGCGCATGCCTCAAAAGAGGGCTTACAATGACTTACAAAGATACATAACAGCTACAAATGTATGCACTACTTGCTTTATGCAAGCACTATATAGGATAAATCACTATACAGGATTTACCCTATTATACTTTATCGACACGAATTGATAGGTGAAACAACAAACAGCCACCCACAAATAGTCTAAAAACAAAGCATCAGGTTGTTTTGGAGTTCACATGAACAACGGTTAACGTAAAGTTACTCGTCGTCAGGCTACAGAAGAATACCATAATTCCTCCGTTCAATTAGGCCTAAGACATCGAGAGTCATGCAGACCTATAACAACCCAGCCACAACACATAAAAATAAAGGTGCTTCAAAAGGTTCTTCAAGCGATGCCATAGAAGAACCATTTTAAGTTCCACAAAGAACCATTTAGTCAAAGGTTCTTTAAAGAACCATCTCTTTCTTACCTTTTTGTAATCTGAAGAACCTTCTTTCTCCACAAAACCACAGCAGTGGTTTTTATACCTTTCCTCATTAAAAAAAAATATTTGGTTGAGGTGATCACCTAATCAGTACTTCATTAAGCAAAATGAGGTTTAGATTTTGGATTTATGCTAAATCCTTAGCATAAATGGCGTTGCCATTTGGCATGCAGATGGCTTTGGTTGTTCTGAGCTCTCATGTGAGTCTGTAAGGCTGTATTGAACTGTTCAGTGGATTAGTTCTTGTTCTCCAGAGAGTCACGGGTCCCTGACCTATAGGTATTCATTTATTCAAAACCCAATGTGCACTGCATTCCGAATGCAATATGGCAATCCCACCCTCACTCTAGGGGGCTTTCAATGGAAAGCTTTCTTCTTAGAGAAGCCTCTTAGCGTTGGACTAAATAAATAAAGGAAAACAAAAGAAAATGCCAAATTTTTCAGTCGTTATGGAATTAGTCATGGATTTCAGCCATATCTTCTTCACATATTCTTTGAGCTGAGAAGGAAAGATGAGCTAAGTTGTTGAGAGAATGTGTTTAATTGTGGTTTATGACAGCACGTTGCCTGAATAATTGCAGCACTCATCAGAGCTCACACTGTGAGACGGAAGTTCTGTTGCTAAATTGATTTTATTCCTAAGTTTCCAGCCTAAAGCGCAGTAGGAAGAGGTACAGTAATTCTCTGAGCTTGCAGGTGCATGCTGGGAAATGTAGTCAGTACCTCGGCTGGAGATGCTTTCCTGGTTGGCCTCGCTCAGGTGGGCTATGCTTCCCTGATTAGATCCAACGCTTGTGCTCTCGCCGTCCATAGAGCTCCAGGCCAGCAGCGTCGCCTCAGAGATCGCAAACTGCTGAAGCACACCTGACAAATTCAGGATTACATTGTTTATTGTTGGCCATAAAACCACATCAAAACTTTCTTCTGTAGCTAAGTTTTAAAGAAAGAATAAGAAAGTTTAAGTGAGAACAGGACAGTTACATTTATGAATACATAATTTGTGTATTTATACTTGTTTGTATTTTGATGCTATTGCTATTCAACTTCTGAATGTAACAGGGTGTTATTGGCTAATTATGGAATATGTTTGTGACTAATATTAATTTGACCCTCAACCACTAAAACCACCTGTGTTTGGACCATATATAATGATTTATATAGATTAAAATATACTCTATAGTTCAATAGTTTGGGGTCAGTAATATTTTTTACTTGAAAATATTTTTACACTGTTAACAAAAAAACTATTTTAAATAGATGCTGTTCTTTACTTTATCAAAGAATCTTTAGCTTTTTATTTATCAAAGAATCCCGAGTTAAAAAGTATCAGGTTTCCAGAAGCATATTAGAATGATTTCTGAAGGAAAATTTCTGACACTGAAAACTGAAGTAATGGCTGCTGAAAATTCAAACTGATGATTAAAAATTTTTTTTAAATCAAACAATGCAGCCTCGGTGAGTAAAACATCTTTCAAAAACATTTAAAAATCATACCAACCCAAAACGTTTGAATGGTAGTTCATATTGAACCCAAGAATACATAAACAAACAAACAAGCAAAAAAATAAATAAACACATGGGTCAAAGACGAAAAAGGGTTTAAGCATAAAAACAATAAGTTTAATACTGCTTTATTATCATCTATTAAATTATTTATTATTCTCACACTTCTGTCACCTGACTGTGGAAATACTATAAAGAATACGAGTAATGTGAGTACTATAAAGACTACAAGTGAAAGTGTCTGATGTTGAACCTACAACAATTTAGATGTTGAACCACTATACACTTCCACATTGTGGGTCTTTCGAATGTTGAGCATCTTCAGTAATTTCTAAGCAATAGATTTTGTGTAAGGTCTTTCTATCTGTTAAACACTCTGTCTCTCACCTGCAGTGAAGCGAGCCTCCTTCTCTCCGTCACTGAGGTCGCTGTATGCGTCATTCTCCAGCTTGCGCTCTTGTTGGAGGTGCAGACTGGAGGTACGTCCCGTTCCACTGCCCCCCACGCCCACCGTCTGCATGCCCCAGTTCTGCCACTCAATCATGTGGGCCACACGCCCCTGGGCCATCGCTGTCGGCTTTGTCACCTTGTCCTTCATAGAGCGAGACACTCCTGATGCGGACGGACAGACAGAGGGTGGATGATGGCATAAGAAGGCAGCGAGAGAAGGTTTTTAGATTATGGCGAGAAAGGGGGGAAAAACGAGAAGAGAAGAAAATTAAGTAGCTTTACAGTATGAGGTCACCTGCTCAGAGACTCTATGGGGTATATGGGTGGATGTAACATGGAAATTGGGAATAGTGTGCTATTGAATAATGTGCTCAGAGGTTGCGCTACAAATATTACCAGAGGTGGACAGTAGTGAAGTATTTTTACTCTGCTGTTAAATTACTTTTCAGTAGTATTTTTTTAATTGGACAGTATTTTTCTTTAGAAAACTTTACTTCACAACATTCCAAAGCATAATATTGTACATTTTACTGCACTACGTTTCATATAAAATATAATTTAATACTTAATTACATTAGAAATCTATTACTTTCTTACTTTTACTCAAGTAAAAGTAATTCAAAGATTTACTTGAGTACAAGACAATACTACATTTTTAATGTTCTTAAGTATTAAAGGTAAAACAAAACAATTTATTTATGAAATGAAGTGCAGTAAAAAGTATGACATTATGCTTTGGAATGTAGTGAAGTCAAGTTTTCCAAAGAAAACCTCTACAGATACATTTTAAAATGACTTGAGTAAAGTAAAAAATAATTCATTACTGTCCGCCTCTGAATATTACCGGTTAGCTACTCTTACAGACTGAGTTACAAAGTTCCCATCATTATTTATTTTTATCTGTTGTGATTGTTTAAGTTTTGTTGATTATTATTCAGAGGCGGACAGTAACTAAGTGCATTTACTTGAGTATTGTACTTAAGTACACTTTTTGAGTATCTGTACTTTACTTGAGTATTATTTTTTCTGGGAACTTATGACTTTAACTTCACTACATTTGAAAGACAAATATTGTACTTTTCACTCCACTACATTTCTATCAAGGTCCTCGAAGTAGAAAGTCGTTACTACTGTATGTAGCAGCTTTGAAAGTCAGTGGGTGATTTTTTTCTTCTCTAAAACAGTTTATGAGTAATCACTCTTGTAGGGCTACATGAAGAGATTTCCCAGTATTTTTTGAACACTGACCAATTGCAAATGTGATATTTATTTACAGCAATTCAATAATAAGAAGTTAATATTGTGGTATATGTTAGACACAATATTGTCTGATTTTGCTAAATTGTGTACGTGAAAATATTACCTATAAAGCCACAGAAGAACTGTTGTGCATCTCCTAATAAAACACAAAAGGTGTTGGACTGAAGCAGCACTGCACAGACTGGTCTGTGTGTAACACCAAAGTACAGCGAGAGCGATTAGACAGCAT